CAGACAACCTCTCGTCAATATGCGTTTTTCGCATTGCATTGCTGCAAAAAACGCATAAAAATAGTATGACAAGGATTTTTGCACTTCATTTGACATCAGACAAACGTGAATAGACCTTCAGCATACACATACATTAGACATGCAATGCTTTGCTTTAATATTAAAAAGAAAAATTATACCTCAGCAAGCACGGTGCTTTGGTCACCGAGCTCATTTGGATAAACTGAAACAGCGTCCATTTTATAAACCTCATTTTCCATTTTGTCAAGCCATTCGCCAAGTGCGTTCATACGCTCAAAAAAGTTCGCAATTTCTTCACCCATCTAAAAAAAACAGACAACAAAGCCAATGAAATTCGCATAGCTAAAAATAATTTTCAATGTGTTGAAACAACTTTTTTTATGGAATTACTGCAAAAACATCCATACGCCAATTGCAAGTCTACTGTATCCTAGCTTTCGAGCGAACTACTGCGTTCACCTATCAATTCTTCAAAAATCATTCAGGGAGTATGTTCTGTTCCTTAAGTTACAATCACCCCAAATATGAGGCAATCATTCATCGTCAACTGAACACACATGAGTTTTTGTGCTGAATGTGATGAAACTTCAAAAATAAGTCAAAAAATTTAAGAATTATTGGCCAGATTTCTTACAAAAATGTCACCGTTAAATTCGCAAAAAGTTACGAAAGATATATGGGCTAACCTGTTGCAATAGGGAACCACATTCCGCAGCTCGTGCGCCCAAATTCTCGTATCTTGTCAAGTATTTCTTCAAAACAGCATCAATTTCGGTGGCTTCCTCGTCTGAAGTGAGCTCAGCAAGAAGTGGACAGAGATGCACCATCTTTTCCACATCACTTTGTTTGCTATCAATACTGTCCTGCAGTTTCTGAAAAAAAAGCACTTTGTTCTGAAAAAAACCAAAAAACCACAATGATTTTATATAATCTGGTTTTTTTTCTGGAAAAAACCCCCCTCCAAAAAACCACAATGAACCAACCTGATAGATTTGAATTTGCTGATGGAATTTTTCTTCATCCGTCGGTATTTTGCCCAGTAGATGCAAGTCACGTTCGGTTGCTTCAAGCCATGTTTTGAATGCACCCGATAGCTCGGCCCAATCTTCGGTCATTACAATTGCCTCATGCAAATGACTACGACGATTGTGGGCATTTTCTACAAGAGCTGCGTATCTAAAAAATATATCTTGAATTTGTAATAACCACTTTATAATTTCGACGTAACTTTTTTAAGTTGTAGGGATAAGTTAATTCACAAGAAACTATGATAGCTGAGACGGTTTTTTTGGGATACTCATTGTTTGTAAGAAAATAGAAGAGTAGAAGGATTTGACTTGAATGTCATGTGTACGAAGACGTTTTATGATGCAGTCTGTGTTTCATCCCTCAGCTGTAAACACAGACCGAACTATGCATGTGGGTAGAAGCGGGAATCATCAGTACAACCTCCTGCCCCATGTTTTGAATAGTCATTGTAACTAATTTGCAAGACAGATAAGTGAAAGAAAGAGATATAAGTGAAGCAGTGAACTCTCTCTGTAACTCTCTCTCTCTCTGTAGTGATCTTCGGCAACATGACTGAATTCACGCTGAACTGATAACGAACCTTTGAGCAATTTTTTTTGCCTGATCCTTCAAGGTTTCGCGTTTTGAATTATCCGTTGTAAGTTCCACAACTTTATCTATCATTGCTTTGAAACCATCGATACTAAAAAAAGCGATGTCTTTGAGCCTTTGCCAAATAAAATGAAAAAAGCAATGTTCCAGTATACTGAGAATGAAAATATGACAGAACCGACTAAACATGTGTTAGTAAAAGCGCAAAAATTAACGTAGAGCATAAATGTTCTCTTTTTTTTTGGTTGTTATATGTTCAGTGATTTAAATTTAAATATTTTATGGTTATGAAAAAGGTCGTAACTAAAAAGTAACAAATGGAAGTAAAAATAAAAAATATTTCCACACTGAATTACATTTCTGTCGCATCAGTCCAAATTGCAGTGCTAACCTCTGTTGTTTTTCTTCAATATGTTTCAGCAGGATGTCATTAGCTCGAGTCTGCTCCTTCACAACTTTATATTCGATGGAGGGGGGCCGCTGATTGAGCAACGATTCCTCGGTATCCTGGAGCCAAATGGACAAAGCACTGTATGCATCCGTATAGCTGCCAAGTTCTTGCAATGCAATACAGACTTGCTGTTCGCGATCAGCGAGCTGCTTGTTCAGTGCATCCCATTCATCAGTTAAGCGGCATTTCTCTTCATCCTGAAAGAGTTTTCCAGTTTCGACAACATTTTTCTGTAAAACAAATCCTGATCTATTTTTGAAATAATTGGCCAGCACACCGGCGGCCGATGCGAAAATACGTTTTTTTTTTTCGCACAGTTCCCCACATGTTTTTGTCGTTAACGGCATTGTTTTTCCCCGCAGATGCTTCTAGCTAAAAGAACTGAGACTGGCCACCTCGATTATAAGAAAATATTCTCTTAAAACTTCAACTTCCTAACTTTTTCTGATTCCGGAGTTAGCAACTCCCAAAAAATTTCCACAGATCCATGCGTGAGGACCACGCATATCTGCGGGTTGGGTTTGAATTCATTGATTCTTATGTCGACAGGGAACATCTCATTAAAATTTCAGCTAACTCTTCAGGTTCCCGAGTTAGCAATTTACCCGCAAAAAGTTTTCACTGGCCCATATGTAGGAATCACGAGGGCAAGAGTGTCCATGGGTGTAGATTAAGTTCCCAAAGTTTCAGTCTTGTAGATCTCGAAATGAAACGCATGAAAACTGTCAAAAACGCATGAAAACTGTCAATCTGAAACGCTTAGTAGTAGCACCTAGCAGGAAGACCACACCCAAGCAATCTTCAAAAGGGAAAGCATATAACTAACGCGAGATGGGTATTAACTGGAGGCAAGGCAGTTCAGAGGGTTCAACGCCTCAGTACAGCATTTTGGAGAATTCTTGTGATATCACTAGCATGGAATTCTTTAATCGAACTGCCTTGGCAGCTTTGAAATTCTTGATAATGCACTTTCAGGCCAGAACTCGCCATGGTTTTATTATTTATGCACTAAATTTTTTTCGCAGCCTTACCAATGTTACTGTTGAGACACCTTCTTCAGCACTGTTCACCAGTTTATCGCAACGTTCCACAACTGCCGCATACTTCTGGCCAGTTGATCGTAGTGTTTCATGGAAAGCTCTCAACCTTTCTTGCTGCGCTCGCAAATCATTGAGTTCCGTTCGAACGGGCTCTTTCAAGGTGCTAACATTTTTCAAATTTTCCAATTCATCTCGTACTGCTTTTGCCTTACTAAAATAAAAAAAAAATCACATTAATTAACATCACTGGCTTTATTTCAAGTGATTCCCGAGAGGTGAAGTTATCGACAGCCCTGCCGGTATTTAAATTTATTGGTATTTGCTATCACCGCGTTAGTTCCGAATGCATTCGTTTCTTACTGGAATTAAGAATGTGAACGGGGTTTTTGAACTTTTGACTTGAATTACTGAGCTTGCAATTCTCTGAATAAAATCAGTAGAACTAAATGCGGAGTAGCTTGGCACAAAGTCGTATTACATAAGAAATTAAATTTGAAAAAAGTTCGAAAAATTAAGTACGATCGACTTTCACTTTCCCATTTTGGCCAGAACATAACAAAATACCCGAAAGCACAAAATTACAGTGAGGCTCAAAAGCGAGCAACAGCCAAAGATAACATCTTTGCGTGATTTAAAGTTAACACAGACTCTTTTAATTAAAAAATGTGTTATAAATGGCCGATTAAAACAGATACACCTCAAGTCTGACGTTTCTCATTTTTGCATGAAATTTTGTTTGTATTTTTTTTACCGCTTCTGAATCCACCAGACACTATTAAACTGATCTTGATGCTTGATTGGCAATTGCTGCTCCCCACCGATTATCTTTAAACCCCTCCCTTTTAAGCAATTTTCAGACCCAATACCTCGTTACCGTCCCCTCCCCCCCCCCCCCCCCCC